GTCCATCCTCCTCATGCTGGCAGCCTCCTTCTCATGTCCGTTGGTTTAAATATTTTTCTTTGCTCAGTTAATGAATAAACTCTGATATATGGCTTTGTTTTCTCCTCTTCTTCTCAACTCTTTCTTCTCTTCTCTTCCAAGGCACCCACTCGCAAGTGGTTCTGACTCAAGAAGGTCCGGTTGTGAAAAAACCTGGAGAATCCCATAAACTCACCTGTGCCACCAGTGGGCTTCCTCTGAGTAGCACATGGATGACCTGGATCCGACAGAAACCTGGCAAAGGATTGGAATGGCTTCTGGAGTATTATGACAGTGGGAGCAATAACTATTCCCCTGAAATTCGAGGACGATTCACGGCGTCTAAGAGTGCCACTGAGTTTTATCTCCAAATGAATGACCTGAAATCCGAAGACACGGCCGTGTATTACTGTGCAAGACACGCACAGTGAGAAACATCTTATCAGAGCTCAGACAATAACCCTGTACTGCAGCTGCTTTGGAGGGAAGTCATGTTACAGGCACCAGTCAGGCATAAACCTATCTGACAAATATAGCAAGGAAAGTATTATACAGAAGAACAGGATCAAGTCATTATTGTTAGCAGTTCACTACTGCTAATCCTTGTCTGAAATCTCTTATTTTGGGGTCTGCATCTCTTTCTAATGAAGCACAGTGAGACAAAGCCATGCGCCTTGCTTCTCTGCCAGAGGGGTTCCAATGCTTGCTCGATCAAGCGAATTCGCCAAGGTGCCTTGTGTTCAGTCTTCCTACTCGTTATTTCGATGATTCGGCAATATGGTGTACCCGCAACGGGAGAAATTAAACTGATAGTTTCTGGGAACCTTTTCGGAAAAGATATTTTGTCTCAGATTATCATCCTAATGTTTGACATTCCCTCTTTGTTTTCGAATCCTATCTCTGATCCTCATTTGTGGAATTTCGGTAGGTGAAACTTTTCCCAATACATGTTTTATTTCTACTTAGAGTCTAGCTTCCGCAGGCGTAACATGAAATCCAAAAGTTGTTTTAAAATGTGAGTTTTCAGAAGTCACAGACAAAAAGCAAAAACTCAAAAGTGTGCTGCTTATGTAGCGCTTAAATCTCTCTCTCTGAGCAGTCTAACTACAATCTAATTATGTAGAGTACACATTGGCCCCCTCCCCAGCAAGACGGGCGCTCAATTTACAGACCTCAAAAGGATGGAAGGCTTCAACCAGCTGACTAGGCCTGGGTTCACGCCCAGGTTGCAACCACAGTCTTCACTGCAGCACTGCAAGATGAGACAAGTCCTTCCATCCTTCAAAGTTCATCCTTCCACTTTGTAAGACACTACAGGCACATTGCTTTACCAGATGTGAAAAAAATAACTTAAGTTGTAGACAAGCACCTAATGAGATGGTTTCCATTAAATTCTAAAAATGTGGTAGCTTATAATCTAATCACAGGGCATATATTCTTAAACAAGATTCAAAGTCCTACAGCTATGACGTTGCAGACTCTCAAATACATAGACACTATCGTAGGCAGAATACAATTGATAAAGAAATTGTTACCCAATATGAACCTATTTTAATACTGACAACTCATATCCTGCCCAATTTATGCAAAACCGCATGCAATTTCGCTTCCTATTTATTCCCTCAAAGCATATCCTCTCACCCACACTTCCTGGGAGGAAAACCCTCAGACCTTTACAGAACAAGCCTGCTCTTCCAATATGTCGCCTTGGTGGTCCATTCTCCTCACGCTGGCAGCCTCCTTCTCATGTATGTTGGTTTTTATGTTTTCTTGCCTAATTTCATTACACTCCAAGCTATGGCTTCCTTTTTCCCTGCCTTTTCGTCTCAACTTTGTTTCCTTCTCTTACAAGGTGCCCACTCACAAGGGGTTCTGACTCAGGAAGGTCCAGTTGTGAAAAAACCTGGAGAGTCCCATCAACTCACCTGTGCCACTAGCAGGCCTGACCTTAGTGGCACGTGGATGAACTGGATCAGAGAGAAACCCGGAAGAAGATTTGAATGGCTTGTGCATTATAACAGCCCTGGGAATAATTATTATTCCCCTTTAATCCAAGGGCAATTCACAGCTTCCAAGGGGGCCTCTGACTTCTATCTCCACATGAATGACCTGAAAGCCGAAGATACGGCCGTGTATTTCTGTGCAGGGGACACAGTGAGAAAGAGTCCTTCCAGATCTCAGATGAAAACATCTGCACTGCAGGAGCTTTGGAGGGAAGTCCTATGAGAAGCACCAGGAAGCCATAAACCACAAACCCAACTGACAGACCAGATACACCAAGGAAAACCTTGTACAGGAAAGCAGGACCAAGACGTTCTTGTTAGCACTGCGTAGCTGCTCATCTTTAGCCTAGGTCCATCACCTCGGAAGTGGCTTCATCCCCTTCTAATACAGTTATTGTTTTTGTTATGTCCCATCAAGGAACTTCTGACTTATGTTGACCTTTTCTCCGAAAGGTTCTGCCCTCCACAGCCCTGGTCAACTCTTGAAAATTCCAGCCTGTGGCTTCTCTTAGGGAGTCTATCCAACTCGTATTGGATCTTCCTCTTTTTTTTCTGCTCCCACGTTTCCCAGAATTATGGTCTTTTCCACAGAATCCTGGCTTCTCACAATGTGCCCTAAGTAGGACAATCCAAGCTTCAACATTTTCTCCCCACAGATAATTTAGGCTTGATTTGCTCTAGCACTCACGTGAATCTCTTTCCAGCAACTCCAGGGCATCAGCAAACCTCTTCGTCAGGAAAACAGCCAGGCTATTTAACAGCCATGGATCCGGGGAGTTTCCCCAAAGTGTGGCTGATGAGGAACCCAAGCAGGGGGAGCCTCGTCCCAGGAATATCCAAAGGCAGACCAAGGCACTGCCTGTCCATGTGGTCAGAGAAACACCACATCAGAAGAGTTGGAGGCAGGAGAGAAAAGAGAAGTGGGAAGCCCTAGCCTCAGCTGAAGGGAACCGGGCTCTACCTGAAGATTCCCTTGAGGTTAAGAAAAAGCAGATGGAGAGAAACAACACTTTGTCCAGGGAACATCTGGAGCCATTCAGCTCTGAACAGATGGGGTTGTGTGCACTTGAGCAGATCCACCAACATGTCATATGATGGGAGAAAAAGGCAGAACTATCTCCATGAAGGACACAGATCTCATGTCTGTATCTTAAACCCAAAGACGTTGGGGCAGAATCACCACCCACCCACAGCCAGCAGAGAAAAGTTCCCTTGACCCAGATGCAATTTGATTTACATTCCCAGATGCCTTCATCATCAGCTGCACTGACTAGGATTTCTCACCGTAGTTCAATAACATCTAGAGAGCAGTGCTGGATTAGGGCCGCCCATTTGCTTCTGGTCACAGCTGGAAACCCTAGTATATGGGGCAAGGCTACCACTTAGCACTCTGGAAATTTAGAGGGAATGCTGCTAGAGTCCCAAGGTTCAGAACCACTGGTTTAAGATAAGCACTGAAAGTGAAGCAATGACGCCTTTCTCGTTTTCACCCCCTGGAGGCAGCACTCAATCGTTCCAAGAAGCATCACCGAAATATAAGCGGAAGACATACCCTCAAGCCTGGACATTCCCACAAAACTTCACAATATCCTTATCTACGAAAGACAACTGGTGCCCTCCCAAACCACCTTCAAAAGGGAGGGAAATTTTCATACCTTTCCCCCACTACACAATACTCCCATTGTTATATTATTTTTAGAAATCAAATTATAAACTATCAATGGAAATGGGAGGTCCTCCTGAGACTCCACAGCGCAAGAGCTGCTCACGAGAAAGTTGCCAGCCTTCTGTGGGTGTGAGTGTTTTTTGATACAACCTCCTGCCATGAGCCCCACTTGGAAGACTAGTCAAAATCACCAGACTTAAAAAGGGGATGTCATACGGATTGTGGAGGAGCTGGATCAATTCCCAGCTTGCTACACTAGGGAAGTCACAACTAGAGTAAGCCCACTGAAATCAGGGGAACGAATGGAGGAGCTCACTCACCAAATCCCCACTGAATCAAGGGGACCTACTCTAACTGAGATTCCCTATGGTAAGCAACAGGACGCCAGCCCATAATTTCATTTCCTGCCCAATGACAGGGTCAGCCCTGAGGAGGTTCTGGCTCAGCCATTCCATTCTCTGGACCTGTGGCTTGTAGGAATTCTCCTAACATGGAACTATTTCTGTTGATTTCACCTCACATTATCCTCCCAGAGGTTCCTTTGCCCTACAAGCAGAAAAGTCTTCACATCCCTTGACCAGGGCATTTCTGACATCAGAATCTTCACCAGGCCCAATTCCTATGATAGTCCTTACATAGAGACTGCTTTCAGACTTCTACAGCTTCGACCCTATTATTTTTTTTAAAGGTTGCGGTATTTTAAAGTCTGTCATCCCCACACATTCACTCAGATACACAGGTCTTAATCTGTCAAAAAGCAAGATCTTCCTGCATAGAGGAGTCCCTTTACTCTGCAACTCACTGGACGTTGCTCAAGGGCCACTGAGTCAAGGCCCAAGCCACACGCTTATGGCCCCTTTGACCCCATTCAGGAGATGCTCCTGCCTGGGAACCTTTGCTTTATAAAAGTTTGGGGTGCATATTAATAAACAGTCCTCCTAGGCTGCTTAATTTATGCAAAACCAAATGCAGTTTCACTTCCTAATTATTCCCTTAAAACTCATCTTCTCACACTTCTGAAAAAGACACTCACAGTGCTTTTCAAAGCTAGTTTGCTCTTCCATTATGTCGCCTTTTTGGTCCCTAATCCTCGTGCTGACAACTTTCTCCTCATGTGTGTTGTTTTTTTATGTTTCCTTCATTCATTTCATTGATTACATCTAAATTTCAGATTTTTTTTAATTGCCTTTTCACCACAACCTTTGCTGTCCTTTCTTCTCTCAAAAGGTGCCCGCTCGCAAGTGGTTCTGACTCAGGATGGTCCGGTTGTGAAAAAACCTGGAGAATCCCATAAACTCACCTGTGCCACCAGTGGGCTTACTCTGAGTAGCACAATAATGCAGTGGATCAGACAGAAACCTGGCAAAGGATTGGAATGGTTGGTGGAGTATTACAGCGCTGGGAGCAATGACTATTCCCCTGCCATCCGAGGGCGATTCACGGCCTCCAAGGGGGCCTCTGACTTCTATCTCCAAATGAATGACCTGAATGCAGAAGACACGGCCGTGTATTACTGTGCAAGGAGGCACAGTGAGAAACATCTTAGCAGACCTCAGACAAAAACTCTGGACTGCAGCACTTTTGAGGGAAGTCCTCTGAGTGACACCAGTGAGTCATAAACCAAAAAGCCTCCTGACAGAAGAGATCCACCAAGAAAAGCATTATACAGTATAGGAAAAGAGTACTGACTCTTCGATTATGAGCCATGAACAGCTGCTACTAACCCTTAGCCGAGGTCCATTACATTCGGGTTGGCTTCCTCTCTTTCTAAGCAAAGTACAGTTGAGCAAAGCCATCCTCCACACCTCCCTGCCGTAGGGTTTCCTACCCTACTTCCATCCACTGACTTCGTTAAAGTATTTTGAACGAAGCCAAGGTGCCTCCAGTTCAGCCTTCCTACTCGTTATCTTGATGATTCAGCAATCTCGTTTACCCACCATGGGGGAAATTAAACTGGAAGCTTCTGGGAAGCTTTTGGGAAAATTGGTTTAGTTCCAGATTGTCATCCTAATGTTTCAGATCCCTTCTTTGTTTTCGAGTCCTGTCTCTGATCCTGGTTCGCGCAATCCGGGTAGGTGAAACGTTTCCCGCTGCATCTCCACATGCCATGAATCTCCTCCATATGCCTGCCTTCTGAAGTGGCAAAAGATTCGAATGGCTTGTGCATTATAACAGCCCTGGGAACAAATGTTATTTCCCTTTAAGGTGAGGGCAATTCCTGGCTTCCAAGGGGGCCTCTTACTTCTATCTCCACATGAATTACCTGAAACTCGAAGACCCAGCCCTGTATTCCTGTGCAGGGGACGCAATGAGAAACAGTCCTTCCGGACAACTGAGAGACCGGATATACCAGGGAAATCCTTGTACAGGAAAGCAGGACCAAGACAATGTTCTTAGCAGTGAGTAGTTGCTGATCTTCAGCCTAAGTCCATATACAGTAATCAGAAGCTGCTTCATCCCCTTCTAATGCACTTATTCTTTTCGTTAGGTCCCATCAAGGCATTTCTGACTTATGCTGACCCTTTTAATGAGCAATCTCCGAAAGGTTCTGCACTCAACAGCCCTGGTCAACTCTTGAAAATTCCAGCCTTTGTCTTCCTTTAAGGAGTCCATCCATCTTGTGTTGCGTCTTCCTCTTTTCCTGCCCCCTTCCTCTTTTCCCAGCGTAATAGTCTTTACCAAAAAATCCTGTCTTCTCACAATGTGCCCGTAGTAGATGCCAGCACATACTGGCATCAACCTTTTTTCTCCACAGATCATTCAGGCTTGATTTGCTTTAGCACCCACGTGTTTCTCTTTCCATTAAGTCCATGTGGTCAGAGAAATACCACATCAGAATTGATGGAGGCAGGACCGAAAAGAGAAGTGGGAAGCCCTGGCCTCAGAGCAAGGGAACCGGGCTCGGCCTGAAGATTCCCTTGAGATTATGAAGGAGCAGATGGAGGGAAACAATATTCTGTGCAGGGAACATCTGGAGCCATTCAGCTCTGAACAGATGGGGTTGTGCGCACTGGAGCAGATGCACCAACATGTCGTACTATGGGAGAAAGAGGCAGAACTATTTCCATGAGAGACACAGATCTCCTCATGTCTGTATCTTAAACCCTTTTTTGGCATCCGTTTCTTGACATTGGTGCACTCACCACCTTGGTCCATGGACTCGTAATCTCGAGATTAGACCACTATAATGCACTCTACGTGGGGCTACCTTTGAGATTAATGCAGAAACTACAAATGGTGCTGAACGCAGTGGCCAGACTTCTTAACGGGGTGAAGAAACATCGACATATTACTCCCCCTCTGGCCGCATTGCATTGGCTGCCCATTCGATTCCGCATTCATTTCAAAGTTCTAATGATCACATACAAAGCCCTAAACGGTTTAGGATCTCAGTACTTGGTGGAACGCCTCCTCCCACCTAGATCTACTCGTATCACCCGATCTAGCCCGGAGGGGCGACTGAGGAGCCTAACGCCGAGGGAGGCCCGGAAGAAAGAAAAAAACAAGACACCGGGCCTCCTTGGCTAATGGCTCCCAGGCTTTGGAACACGCTCCCCCCGCCCCGAGATTCACCTGGCCCCCTGGCTGGGCACTTTCAAGAACCAACTCAAGACCTGGTTATATAGACAGGTCTTCCCTCCAGACTCTACGTAATTCTCTCTCTTTCTTTATCTATTCTGTTCTGTGTTAATGTAGGAATCTGTTACTTTATACTAATTGTTTTTATTACGTGTTTGTGAGCCGCCCAGAGTAGACTATGTCTAAATGGGCAGCATATAAGCTCAGTAAATAAATAAATAAAATCATCTGAATGGATGTTCATTTTTTTCAGACATAGAGCAGGCTGGGAAGCCTAATAGATTTTAAATTAATTATATCATTGTTTTAAGTCTATAAAAGTCTCTCTCCCACTTTTAATTAATTTTAACCAAAAAATAAACTTCCTCTAATACATTCTCTTGCTCTACTTTAGATGTTGCTTCTGTTCTCATTCTTTGTTAAAAGAGCCTTGCTTTTTTAATTAATGTTTCACTGCTGAGAGATTGGTTCCTTATGAGTAGGTATGCATAAAATGTTAATATAAATGCCTCCTTCTACTTAGATCAGCTTAAATTGGCAAACATAAATTATTCATACTTAAAGCACTGGAATATTGCGTCATCATTTAGCTTGTGTATTTAAGATGCATTCAGCAAAAAGAGAAATATGAAGAAAGTTGGCTTGGAATTTTCCATAATGCTGAAGATGAAGTGGCAAATGGATCCAAGATGTTTGATCTGTTACTGGTGATGGGCGGCCAATTTTCACATTTTAGAGATGAGCAGATTTATTGCATCCTCAAATGTTATGTTGTAATAATTCTGTTAGCTTTATAGATGCCTCACGACTTTTTTGTTACTGTTTTGTGTTTAATATTGTTTCCACAAGCAATAGAGTTACTCTCTAAAATCCATCTAGCACAGACAAGCTGCAGAAATTTTTTCACTCTTAGTGTCTAGATGTACAGTGGTGCCTCGACTTACGAACGTCCCAACATTCAACCATTTCGAGTTACGACCAGCTCCGGCTGCAAAATTTTGCTTCGATTTGCAGCCAGAGCTTCCAGTTAGGAACAGATAAAGGCGGGGAATTCAAATTACTAGAATCTTCCCGCACAGAGGGGTCCCTTTACTGTGCAACTCACTGGATGTTGCTCAAGCCAGTGGGTTAAGACACAAGGCACAGGTTTATGGCACCTTGACCCCTTTCAGGAGATGCTCCTGCCTGGGAGCCTTTGCTTTATAAAGGGATGGAGCCCCTGCAAATGCTGACTCCTCCTAGGCAGCTTAATTTATGCAAACTCAAATGCAATTTCCTTTCTTATTTATTTGCTCACGTCATATCCTTCCACCCAGACTTCCCAGTAAAAGACTCACAGACCCTTTCAGAGCTAGCCTGCTGTTCCATGATGTCGCCTTTGTGGTCCATCCTCCTCATGCTGGCAGCCTCCTCCTCGTGTGTGTTGGGTTTTTTTTTAATGTTTCCTCATCTCATTTCATCAATTTGCTCTAAATTTCAGCTAATGTTTTTGCCTTTCATCTCAACCCTTTCTTTCCATTCTTCTCTTTCCAGGCGCCCGCTCGCAAGCGGTTCTGACTCAGGAAGGTCCAGTTGTCAAAAAACCCGGAGAATCCCATAAACTCACCTGTGCCACCAGTGGGCTTGCTCTGAGTAGCACATGGATGAACTGGATCAGGCAGAAACCTGGCAAAGGATTGGAGTGGCTCGTGCACTATTACAGCGCTGGGAACAATTATTATTCCCCTGCCATCCGAGGGCGATTCACGGCCTCCAAGGGGGCCTCTGACTTCTATCTCCAAATGAATGACCTGAATGCAGAAGACACGGCCGTGTATTACTGTGCAGCAGGCACAGTGAGAAGCATCTTACCAGATCCCAGACAAAAACTGTGTAGTGTAGCAGTTCTGAAGGAAGTCCTCTGAGTGGCACCAATGAGTCATAAATCATAAAGCCTCCTGACAGATGAGATAGTACAGGAAATGAGTACCGATTCTCTCTGTTCTGAGCCATGAACAGCTGCTACTAACCCTTAGCCGAGGTCCATTACATTCGGGTTAGCTTCATCGCTTTCTAAGCAAAGTACAGTTGAGCCAAGCCATGCTCCACACCCCGGTCGTAGGGTTTCCTGCCCCCCCCCTCCATCCAGTGAGTTCAGCAAAACTTTTTGAGGGAAGCCAAGATGCATATAGAAGGCACCGGATAGGAGGATAGTTCCCTTTACACAGTTGTTACAAACTTTGGGTCCCCAGATGTGCTTTGAGTTACATTCCCAGAAGCCTTCATCATCAGCCTTCCATCACCACAAAAGGATGGAAGGCTGAGTCCACCTTGAGCTTGCTACCCAAGCGGGCTGGGATCAAACTCAGCTCATGAGCACAGTCTTTACTGCAGTACTGCAGTTTAACCTCGGTGCCACAAGGCACGTCATTTCATTTTCCAAAAAAAATCATCCTTACACTTTATAAACTGTATTATAAGCATACTTCCTGCTCGTTATCTTGAAGGTTCAGCCATCTCGTGTACCTATGAGTGTGTATATGTTTATATGAGTATGCACTCATATTCACAGATCTTCATCTCTGACCAACTAAGATATTCGCGCACGGAGGGGTACATACTCTGTAACTCACTGGAAGTTACTCAAGGGCCAATGAGTCAAGGCCAAAGTCACAGGCTTATGAGCCCTTGAACCCTTTCAGGAGAGGCTGCTCCCTGGGAACCTTTGCTTTATAAAGGGATGGAGCCTGTATGGATCCTGACTCCTCCTCGGCTGCTTAATTTATGCAAAACCAATTGCAATTTCACTTCCCATTTATTCCCTCAAATCATGCCCAGACTTCTAAGTAAAACAATCACAGTCCTTTTCAAGCTAGTGTGCTCTTCCATCATGTCGCCTTTGTGGTCCATCCTCCTCGTGCTGGCAGCCTCCTCCTCATGTCTGTTGATTTATATATATATATTTCTTTGTCTGTTTACATTAATTAACACTAAGTAACAGCTTTGTTATTGCCTTTTGATCTCATCCTCTTCTTTTTCTTTTCTTTCCAGGCACCCGCTCACAAGCGGTTCTGACTCAGGAAGGTCCGGTTGTGAAAAAACCTGGAGAATCCCATAAATTCACCTGTGCCACCAGTGGGTTTACTCTGAGGAGCACATATATGCACTGGATCAGACAGAAACCTGGCAAAGGACTGGAATGGCTTGTGTATTATTACAACACTGCATCTGGGAACAGTTATTATTCTCCTGCAATCCAAGGCCGATTCACAGCCTCTAAGGACAGCTCCAACTTCTATCTGCAAATGAACAACCTGAAAGAGGAAGACACAGCCGTCTATTACTGTGCACGGGACACAGTGAGAGAGATCCCAGCAGAGCTGAGACAAAAACCTATTCCTTCATGACATTTTAGAGAACAGTCACCAGAGGGGGCACCAGAAAGCCATGAATCAGGAGCTCATGGGGCAGAATAATAAAGAACGGTCGACAGAAATTAATAATGAAAAGTTCTTACAATATGTCCAAGCCTCCGTCCGATATGGGTCGTTCCAGAATCGTCCTGGTCTGAACTTCCAAACCGCCCATATAGTTCAGAGGGAGTCTCTGACTCCTTTGATCTTAGACACACCAAACCTTCAATGTTTCCCCCAAAAACGTGCTTGCATGGGTCCATGAATTCCACCAAGACAGTCCAGTAGGTGAGCATTTTCATGTCCACATCCCCAAATAATAATCAAACTCTCAACCTCTGGCTATGATCCTAAGAGCCTGGCTGACTCATACAGAGACAGGCGGTTTTTGAGATAGTTTGGACCCAGGATATCAGTCTCAATTTGAGGGAGGAGAATATGTTTTTCTGTCCATCAACAGAAAAAGACTGTTGAAAAACAGCCTCATATTCTTTTTTTTTTTTGTCCGACTGCCTCTCAGAGATGCAGCTGATGGTTTGCCTCCCCAAGGAGGTTTCCTCCGGCTCTCTTGCAAAGCTTCAGGATTGATTGTATTCATCATCTCCAGGAACAATCCCTCCAATATGCTGTCTCTGCAAATGAACAACCTGAAAACCGAAGACACTGCTGTGTATTATTGTGCAAGAGGCACACTGAGAGGCAGTGAATCTGACACTAGACAAAACCCCTTTTTCCCATCTGGAAGCAAAGCTGATGTAAGAAGCCAAGGTGCAGAATAAAGTGGAAGGACATTAAGGAGAAGTGATGGGCAAAGACCCATCAACTCCATTATCTTCTTTCCCACAATCTATTCTCCACGCTAGACCAGAATACGGAAGCTACAAAATGCTGAGCCCAAACATTCTCTCCCAGTGGGACAATCCACATTTCCTTAAAGCGTCAGCCTTTCCCCTGTACCTCCATTCATTTTTTCCCTAATGTTGAATGTATAGTATGTACATAATAGTTGGTTTTATGCCTCTCAAGTGAGCAGCCCTAAAAGTCCTTTCGAGGTAATCAAGGTATTTAAGGACTGGTTTTCCATGGCTGAGTGGGGATTTGAACACGAGTTTCCAGTCTCCAGGACTTCATCCACTACACCAAGTTAAGATCATATATACATAATGTAACATGCAGTCCTAAAAGCTTTTACATGAAAACCATGTGCTATGCATGTCTTGCTTAATTTGGAGTTGATGGAGGCAGGACCGAAAAGAGAAGTGGGAAGCCCTGGCCTCAGACCAAGGGAACTGCGCTCTGCCTGAAGATTCCCCTGAGGTTTTGAAGAAGCAGACTGAGAGAAACAACCCTCTGTCCAGGGAACATCTGGAGCCGTTCAGTTCTGAACACATGGGGTGGTGTGCACTCAATCAGATTCACCAACATGTCATACAAGGGGAGAAAAAGGCAGAACTGTTTCCATGAGGGACACAAAACTCCTTATGTCTGTATCTGAAACCCAAAGACCTTGGGGCAGAATCAGCATCACCCACAGTCAACATGAACAGGCTGGGTAGGAATGATGGGAGTCGTAGTCCGAGGCATAGAAAGGGCACCGGATAGGAGGAAAGTTCCCTTTACTCGGTAGATACAACCTTGGGTCCCCAGATGTGCTTTGATTTACATTGCCAGAAGCCTGCATCATCATCTGTGAGGACCAGGATTTCTCACTGTAGTTCAAGAACATCTGGAGAACACTGACAGATTGGGGCCGCCCATTTGCATCTGGTCACAGGTGGAAACCCCAAGAATACAGGGCAAGGCCACCACTTAGCACTCTGGAAATTTAGAGGGAATGCTGCTAGAGACCCAAGGATGGGAGCCACTACTTTAAGATAGGCACTTTAAGGGAAGAAATGAAGCCCTTCTCATTTCCACTACCTGGGGGCAGCAGTCCATCATTCCAAGAAGCATCACCAAAATATGTGGAAGATATACGATCAGGCCTGGACACACCACATAAACTTTACAACATGCTTATCTACCAATAAAAACTGGTGCCCTCCCAAACCACTTTCAAGAGGGAGGGAGATTTTTGTACACCTTTCCCCCACTACTGCCTGTCCATGTGGTCAGAGAAACACCACATCGGAGTTGATGGAGGCAGGACCGAAAAGAGAAGTGGGAAGCCCTGGCCTCAGACCAAGGGAACTGCGCTCTGCCTGAAGATTCCCCTGAGGTTTTGAAGAAGCAGACTGAGAGAAACAACCCTCTGTCCAGGGAACATCTGGAGCCGTTCAGTTCTGAACACATGGGGTGGTGTGCACTCAATCAGATTCACCAACATGTCATACAAGGGGAGAAAAAGGCAGAACTGTTTCCATGAGGGACACAAAACTCCTTATGTCTGTATCTGAAACCCAAAGACCTTGGGGCAGAATCAGCATCACCCACAGTCAACATGAACAGGCTGGGTAGGAATGATGGGAGTCGTAGTCCGAGGCATAGAAAGGGCACCGGATAGGAGGAAAGTTCCCTTTACTCGGTAGATACAACCTTGGGTCCCCAGATGTGCTTTGATTTACATTGCCAGAAGCCTGCATCATCATCTGTGAGGACCAGGATTTCTCACTGTAGTTCAAGAACATCTGGAGAACACTGACAGATTGGGGCCGCCCATTTGCATCTGGTCACAGGTGGAAACCCCAAGAATACAGGGCAAGGCCACCACTTAGCACTCTGGAAATTTAGAGGGAATGCTGCTAGAGACCCAAGGATGGGAGCCACTACTTTAAGATAGGCACTTTAAGGGAAGAAATGAAGCCCTTCTCATTTCCACTACCTGGGGGCAGCAGTCCATCATTCCAAGAAGCATCACCAAAATATGTGGAAGATATACGATCAGGCCTGGACACACCACATAAACTTTACAACATGCTTATCTACCAATAAAAACTGGTGCCCTCCCAAACCACTTTCAAGAGGGAGGGAGATTTTTGTACACCTTTCCCCCACTACTGCCTGTCCATGTGGTCAGAGAAACACCACATCGGAGTTGATGGAGGCAGGACCGAAAAGAGAAGTGGGAAGCCCTGGCCTCAGACCAAGGGAACTGCGCTCTGCCTGAAGATTCCCCTGAGGTTTTGAAGAAGCAGACTGAGAGAAACAACCCTCTGTCCAGGGAACATCTGGAGCCGTTCAGTTCTGAACACATGGGGTGGTGTGCACTCAATCAGATTCACCAACATGTCATACAAGGGGAGAAAAAGGCAGAACTGTTTCCATGAGGGACACAAAACTCCTTATGTCTGTATCTGAAACCCAAAGACCTTGGGGCAGAATCAGCATCACCCACAGTCAACATGAACAGGCTGGGTAGGAATGATGGGAGTCGTAGTCCGAGGCATAGAAAGGGCACCGGATAGGAGGAAAGTTCCCTTTACTCGGTAGATACAACCTTGGGTCCCCAGATGTGCTTTGATTTACATTGCCAGAAGCCTGCATCATCATCTGTGAGGACCAGGATTTCTCACTGTAGTTCAAGAACATCT